TCTCTCTCTCTCTCTCTCTCTCTCTCTCCTCTCCTCCTCTCTTCCTCGCTCTCTCTCTCTTCTCTCTCTTCTCCTCCTCCTCTCTCTCATCTCTCTCTCTCGCTTCTCTCTCTCTCTTTCCATCTCTCTCTCTTTTGCTAATTCCAAGTCTCCTGACGGTAAAGAGATGTATCTCGAAAGCTTGTTAATAAAAAAAAAAAAAAAAAAATTTTAAACACCCTTATTCTATAACTTGACTTTGTTTATATATATATATATATATATATAGGTAGCGTTGTACTCCTGATTGTAAATCGTACGCACTTTTCTCGCAGCCTGCACTCCCCTCACCTAACCCCACCTCCCCTCCCCTCACCTAACCCCAGCCCACCTCTCCTCACCTAATCTCATCTTATCCTACCTCTTCCCATCCCATCTCATTCCATCCTATCCTATCCTAGCACTCACTGAGAACGGAGAGGAACGAGTCCTTGCGGAACATGATCAGGTTGCCCTGCATGATGTGGCAGACGAGGTCCTGCAGCTGCACGCCGTCGACGCACGACACGATGAGATTGAGCAGCTCCGGGTTGCCGACGGCGATGTTCGAGAACTGGCAGTAGATGTCGGGCACCAGGTAGCAGAAGAGCCGCACGTCATCCTCCTGACACAGCTGTGTGCGGCGTTCACGAAAAAGGATTAAGAAGATGCGGTCTTCACAAAGAGATTAAACAGATTCGGATACTGTACCAAGCTGTTGACCACTACACCATCTGGTGGTCAAATCTGACAACTCCAGTCAGCTTTCAGAAAGCCTCCTGATGGGAGGCGAAACGTCAGCAGTACGTTTTGATCAACACGGTTGAGTAAAAATTAACCAAGATAGCTCTATTATCTACCAACCGAATGAACTTATTTAATGAGATTCAGATACGTTTCAGTATTTCTAACATCCAACATGGAACCTGGCTGCCCCTCAGAAACTCTGTTTCGTTACTTCCTTTCTCGAAAGGAGGTAGGGCAGAACTAGGTGGCAGAACAAATACAGTATCCTCAACACATAAGCTGATCTATGATCCATATGCCGATATTGCGATATAGCAGATATTACAATTAATGCACATAGATGCAGACACAGAGATGTGGTGCCGTGAGAGGGTGCGGAAGCGCAGCATGTGACACACAGGCACGTGGCACGGGCAACTGACGGGCTCGTCTCGACGCGTTATAGTGGCATTAGCAGGTGCTGGGGTAAAACAAGAGTTCGACCTCCAGAGTTCATAACTTATTAGTGGCATTAGCACGCTCTGGGATACATCAGGAGCTATAAACCTCTAGAGCTCACCATAATGTGTTACACTGGCATTAGCCTCTGGTAGGATACAGCAGGAGCTATAGACCTCCCTAGCTCGCCAAAATGTGTTAGACTGGCATTAGCACGTGCTGGTAGATGGCAGGAGCTAACCTCCAGAGCTCACCATAATCTGTTACACTGGCATTAGCAGGTGTTGAGATACAGCAGGAGCTATAGACACCGAGAGCTCACCACAGAGATGCCAACATATATTTGAAGCAATCTGTAGTTTCTGGCCATCAAATTAGTAGTTCGAGGGGGGGGGATTATTAATTTTACTCACACACACATACACGTTCTAAATTGTAGTACATACGCTGCCACGCACATGAAACATTGTATTACGGCTAGCGCACTCGAGAGCTACTATTGACAGCGCACTACTATTGAGAGCTACTACTCGAGAGCGCACTATTGTACATCGCGTACGTACGTCGTACGTACATACGCGTACATACATCTACTACGTACACGCGTACTGGAGTGTCTGCCTGTACGAGCGAGGAGGATCGATTGTTTATACGCAAAGTCTCTTGCGGCTGGGGTCCAGGGCCCGCATAAGGGCCCTGGAAGCTCAGGGGGTTTGAGAAAGCGGCCCGCGAGGCACGTTTGTATGGCTGTGCACATCCACAGGCACACACGTATATACGCGCGGGCGGCAGCGCGCGCTTGATTGAATGCAATACAGTACAGTACACACATGCATGCTTAAATGGTAAACACTTGACAGCCACACCGTACCATGAATTCTACTGCGCCGTGGAACCGGCTGCCGCTAGCGGCAGAGGCCTAGGGCAGGCATCGCAGCGCAGCAATGCCGAGCGAAAGCGGCAAGGCGCGGGACCGACCTGGACAATCGATTTCCGGGACAACTTTTTCTTTTGGGGTCGCCCCCGATATCATGTTTTCGGGGGCTCTTTTTGGCATTTCGGGGGCGAAATCGCCTGCCACCCGTGTATTTTTTCCCCTGCGTATTATAGACTGACAGACCAAAAATAATTTTTTTTTTCCAATCACAGTGAAATTTGTAGTTTGACACAAACTGGTCGTAGTGGTGCAAAGGAATAGAAATTCGTATAAAATACGAATAAAACGTAGTGGTTGGCATCTCTGTCACCACTAAGGTGTTACAGAGGTATTAGCAGATGCTGTAGCCGAGTCCCCAAGAACCCAGCCTGCCGTGCTAAGCCGGTGTTCACTTCAAAATCAGCAGGTGTTGCGATATACAGCATCAGTATGCATCTTGCTTAGATAATATACGAATCTGCATCTACACAGTGCAGCATAATCAACATCTTTTGTTCGCAGGGCTTCATCGCCGAATGACCAAACTATAGCGCGGCATCAATTGCAACATCAACACACCATCTTTGATGCCAGCACCTGCCTGATCACGATGCACAATTAGCACTACAACATATATCATCAGCAACACTCCAGTCCAGGGCATCAACAATTGCTATACGGTAATAGTTGTACATAATCAGTTTCGATATACAAGTTATACCTGCAGGTCACTGAGGAGACAACCACTTAAATCCCTGCCCTCCAGACTCTTGCAGAAGTCCTTGTAATGTGTCATGTTATCTTCGCCAATTTTACTGTAAAAAAACGTTATATTACAGAATGCAGCAAGTTTGCACAAATTACCAGTTACTGCAATCGCAAAACGAGAGAACGGCTTAAATACTTGGAACTTTACTTGAGCTGCGAATACAATCTCTCACCTGGCCTTGAGGAAATAGAGGAGATAGTAGCCAAGCCTTGGCTGACCGCTGTACATGTCTGCCATTAACATGAGTATTGCCTGTCTGCTGGGATCCTCTTCTGGAGTCTGACATAGATTCCTGTCATCGAATGTTTACAGACTTAACACTAGCTTCGCCAGGAAAGCAGGGAGATAGGGCACATACAAACTACTCAGCTTTCAACTTAAAAGTAAGAAATATACTGCATTTAACAAAGGGTTTAAGTATAACAATAATTTTTTACCTAATAATGTGACACACAGAATTCATCGTTGATCTACTGAAATGACAAGTGATGCTCACAGGATTTCTTAACAAACCAAGTCTATATAAACTATTTTGTAGAATTATTCGAATGCATTAGTTAACTCAAAGATACTTACCTAAATATGACGAACAGAGATGTTCCTATAGAATCTTCAATTTCTCTGCAAAACGTCATAGAAATCATAATTGCAACCATATTGCACATTAGCAACAACATGTTCTCTATTGGAAAAAATACAGTTACAACTAACTGACTAAGTACATAGTTGAACTTGAATTTTATATAGATACCTCACTTGATGGCGATTCATACTTTCCTAACTAATTCTCTCCACAAAGTTTTAGTAACATTTTCCATCCGTCTATTATATCTCCCACAAAAAAATATTAGTAGCTTTACGGTGACGGACTACTCGGAGGAGTGTATCTAAGCTGAAGGAATGTCAAGGGGTACGTGCTTGGATTCCAACATGCTCGCGTCAACAACCATATTGATATTCCACGTACTCTTCATCGTCTGCCTCATCCGGTAACAGCTGTGATGAGAACTGGTCATTGAGAATGTGGCAAAGACAGGTGGCCAGTGCCGGTGACATATCCACGTCAAACTCATCCTGCAAGCATCAACAGACAACTATCGTTTAACAGCCTCATGGGTAAATGTCATTAGTTGTTAATAGAAAAGATTAGATATGGTTAGATATATTATCAGGGGGTGATCCAAGCTACTATATGTGCTTCTACGTCACAACATGTTGGTAGCTACTGAACAGCTGAAATTGTGATGTAAGTGGATTTGAGATGTCTCGGTATTGACAGTGGCCATGGACGGGGAGTTTTCCTAACCAGTGCTGAATAAGGGCAACTACGATACATGTAGTCACAGCTATTAAAATGACAGAAACACTCACGTTTTTTATCACTGCCTCTATGAGCTTATCCATCACCTCACACTGCTGTTCGCTGTCACTGAAACACAAAGATTGAAATCCATTACTGACCACCAACAGTTAAATTCCACTACTTTATCTATGCACTATACATTTGGTAGTCAGTAAGTAAATAAGCCAAGCTTTTCTATTTCCCAACTTATTACCCACATATTATAAAGCATCGTCACAAAATACAGCAAAGTTGAAAAACCAACTACATAGTTTATGCAGTTATTAGAATTTTTTTACACTTTTACATATGCATCGTCATTAAATAAATAAATATAAACATTAACATAATAATAATAGTTTATTCATTGCATGCTGTTCCACTGCCATTCTCGCTTCAGTTGCCATAGTTACCTCGTCTCCTGCAGCTGAAGCACTGAGTTTTTGATCTCTGGGTCTAGCTGCTCTAGATACTGGGTGATGTCTACATCCGGCTTGACTTCCTCTTTTACCTTCTCCTTCACTGCTGGCTTTGGCGGTTTCATGACCAACCTTTTCAACTTCCCTATACGCGAAGAAGGTTATATGCAAAATTCACATTTCACCGCAACATTTATTAGTTGCAGTAAATTCAGTTTGTTGGGAAAAAACTTTTGTAAAACTTTTCATCATTTGGTGTCTGTAGCATACTGACTATATTCATATTCGCATTCTATCTATTCATATGACTTAAATATTATTATATAAAATTATTCGATTCATCTTCTTGCAAAAAAACGTTTGATTGATGGATGATGTTGATGAATGCTCAGACAATTGCACATCTTCAGGAAGCTACGCCACTCTTGTTACAAACAGGCATGCAACGATTTGCGCTAAATATTTTCTTGCCATTGTTGATGAATCCGGAGACGTTCACTTGATATCTACCTAGCGGAACATCATCCTCATCGTCGTCGCTAAACATGGCCGGCATTGCCGTCACGACGTCCTGTGCACTTGGAATGCTTTCGCCGTCGCTTTCGACCTTCACTACAGGTGTCGCCACCGGAGGCATGGGTAACGTAGGCTCAATGGAAGCGACTTGCGATAAGTCATCGGGTTTCGGTGCTGCTGAGGAGAATAGCAGACATATAATGAAATATAATATTACATATAATATATAAAATAATACATAGTAATATGAAATATAATATACCACGATGTGTGAGATTAACTGATGCAGAGGTTATCTAGATGAGAAACCTTGACACATGATCGAAGCAAACCTTCTAACGAGCAGAACTCTCCAAAACTCGTACGGATCATTGCCTTCAGGTCTTTGTCGAGCTTGGGGTTGTCAAACAGGGGCGACAGTGACCTGAAACATGGTTCCATTTTGCACAAACAAGAAAGCGATCCTTGGAAGGAGAATGCAAGCATCGCAGCTTACGTACGTATCAGCTCTAACAGCTATGAAGCATAGATTCCCCCCCGAAGCAGTTTGTGTGAAACATACATGCTACTCTCTGCATTCTTCTATCTTCAATCCAATAGATTTAACACTTAATTATCTCCATTCTTTTCCAACACTAGACTACTTTGGGAACTATTTCACAAATTACAGATTTTACGAAAGACAATCATCAGCACAGAACAAATCTCATCAGACTGACAATGTATTTGCTGACAGTGGGATTTGTTAGCAAACAGTCGACTAGATTGCAATGCTTTCTAAGCAAGCAGATACGACAAACAGATTCAGAGGAGATCATGTTACACTAGTCATCACATCGTAGGTTAGCAGCGATAGCAGGAACAGCTGTACTCACGATAACACCTTCTTCTCCAGTATCTGCCGGAGAGACGTGTAGACGCCTTGCCGCACCTGCGCTGATAGCGGTGGGTAGAAGTTCGGTAAGATCTACAACAAAACAACAGAGTCCTGCCATTCTATGTGCATGGATATCAGGCGACCCTATGTTTGACACTCATTTGGGTACAAGACAATCTTTCTGCATTCATCACTCTGCTCAACAATAATGCTAAGATGAAATTAAAAAGACATGAAACCGTTTGTTGTGGTTATTTGCTTGCAATTTCTTAAGTGAATACTATACCCTGCACAGGAAATCTAAGAGTGTGGCAGTGATGGCTGGATGTGGTCGCATGGAGTGATGCATCACTAGTATTGCTGGTTCTGCAATGAACATGCATCGTAACGAAATTGTCAAACGAATAAATTTCATCATCAACCAATCAACAGTTGACCATTATCATTATTAGTTTTATTTTTATCTTTATTATTAGTATCATTATTTTTGTTGTTGTTATTATTATTATTATTTTATTACATTATTTATTTATTCATTCAATTATATATATATTTATTTAGTGCGACTGGATTGATAACGTAAATATATTAGCTTGCAAGCTCCCAACAGAGTTCCCTATAGTACCTGTGATGTTGTAATCAATTTGTGTATTAAAACACTATTTCTCACACTATAACTCACCAATATTCATAATGCTGTCCTTTTCTGGGTCAAAGAACAGCCAGTCGTAGAATAACGCCAATTTGGCATTCGATGCTGCCACATTTGACTGGAAATAAATGTGTCAAGATATGTGAAACTTCTAATCATAGTATTCTTACAAATTTATCCAAAAAATTCTATTAATACTTTGCAGGAGATAATACCATCTACTACATTTTCTGTCAATTCAGCATCTCGGTATCTACGAGCAATTAGACGTGTGCAACTGTACCCACCGTGCAGGTGGTCAGCATCCAACCAATGACAGCCCACCGTGGAATGATGTCAGAACATAGAATCTCGTTTGGTGGATGAACGACGCTACAGATAAAGCGTATGAGGTCGCATCGCAGTGATTGGCTTTCTGGAGTCGCCAAGTACTGCAAAACATCAACAACAACTATGAATCCCAGATGGAGAAGCCATCATAGATACTTGATGTGTTATAAACAAATAATGCTTGCAACACAACACTGACCTAGTATTTATCCTGTGTATTATATTGTTGCCAGTCATATTTGCCATTCGTATAATAATTATATATAATAATTGGAGTTCCCTTAAGTAATCGCTATATACGAGTTTGACTGTTTATGTACATGTATGTGTATATGTATAATACGTATATGTATGCATATGTATATACATGTGTATACGCACGCGTGTGTGTGCATGCTTGTGGCTGTGATTGTTAAATTGATTTTTGAATAGGGTGTGAATGTGATCAAGTACGTGTTTTACCTCATAAAAATGTATTTATAAAGCAATTATTAATGGTGTGAACATGCCACTCACCTGTCTTTGAAACCAGTCCTGATACCGCTTCTGTTGTCCAAATCGCACCTGTGTTATGACCAAAAAAAATTATGAAAAATCTCACAACACATCACAGCCTCTGTGCACCATTAGCTTCATACAGAACACAACTGGAAGAAAGCTCATGAGTGTTTGACTGTTAAAGAAGAAGAATACTTCAAGCAGGAAATTCATTGGATGCCTTTCATCTGCTGCTTATTATCTATTGATTGGAAGTGATTGGGAATTAGACCTTGGTAAGGAGGAAGTACATCTTTGCTTCCATGTCGGGTGTGAGGCGGGAGATGAGGAACTTCCTCTGTGTTCTGGTCGTCATAAACTGCAGGATTCCTGAAACGAACGACGAAAATGACACGAACAAATTCCACGCTGAAAATTACCACAGACCCAAAATGTTCTTACTTACTAAGTTAAAAACATGATAGCATCAACACATCTTACTACAACAATCATGCAGAGCCATCAACACTAGTTTCTCACTTTACTCTATGTGATGATTAAGCATTAATGAATTAAGTTGGATGAACTTGCTGACAACTTATCAGGTCAGTCACCATACAACTTAAGGCATAAAACCTAAACCACATGCCTGCAATCTGAACACCATATGATTAACAGTGTTAACTTAACATTCTCCAAGGACTGAAGGAACTTGCCTGTAAACTGAGAATGTAAAGACGTGGGGTTCGTCAGTATGTCCTTCCACAGCTTCTCAAACTCTGGAATTCTGGCAACATCCTGTAGCAGACGTATCAGGTCGCGGCCTATTGCCACACAGTCTAATATCTGAAATTAAATACACATATGAAGCCAGCAGTCATTTAATCACACTAGTGCAAACTTCTTGGTTAAAATACTACATTTATACCACTGTAAAAGCCATGGCTTCCATAGAAAAACCTGTACGGCCTGGGAAATGGATTTGGAAATTGATTGTGTCGTGTAAATTCGCATGAGATTGCATCATGCCCAACAAATCAGTGTGCAACCTTCCTCTGCTAATGCTAGGTACACAATTTAGTCTAGCTAAAATAAAGTTGCATGCTTTAGTCTGCCCTATGTGTAAGTATGTGATTTAATAAAATAAAGCTATGGCAAAACAGCATGCATAAGACCAAAGCAAAAAGTAAAGTATAGTAGGACTTTTGTAAACGTTTTGCATAATTTGTCATTTTCAGGTGAATAATCCATCAATTCCATTCTCATACACTGATCAATGCTCCCTTGCAATTAACTTAACTGAGTCTTAGTAACGTCCAGCATAATAATCTCACACGGCTTCTATTTCACACAGAACTATCGACTCTGCCTTCACCATCTACCTTCTCACGCAGCAGGCAACTGCAGAGCTCCACCTCACGTTGTCGCAAAGCAGCCAGCTTGGAATTGCTGTGGTCAACTATGATGCGTAGATACGTGTAGACGACCATGGCAACCAGCATGCCATACTTCTCCAACCACGGCCTGCAGCAATATATTAATTCCTCCATGTAACAAGATGAATCGTATGCCAACACCAACACATATCAGATATAAACACATTTTGTTACATTCTAACATGTATGAACATAACTGTACATAAGGTTTGTGATGTATGCATAATAATTACATAAATAAAGTAAAACATCATGCAGATATCAAATATCCGTAAACACCGCCACCATACCGGAATTCCATAAAGATGTCAACCATTGATTCAGCGAGCCAGATGTTTTTTGGAGAAATATCGCCCCCTGGATTTAACAAAAACAACTGTGTGTACACATCATTCATTAGTTTCATTTATAGATACTATTTGTATACTGCTCTTACATTGAACAATGTTTTCGTTAACTCAGATTAGATGGCATTGTCAGGACTATTACATTTAAAAAGAGAGATATACCTGCTATTTGTCGGAGGAGAGCACTGCAAACGGTATCAGCTCCCTGAACCTGATTTCTTACCATTTCCTTGAAAAACCATAACCCCTACAAACCAAAGTACAATATGCTGACATTATTTAAAACATTGTAGTGATTACAACACTCAAAAAAACTAGCATGGGACAATAGTGCATAGTAAATGATTAATGTCTATTATCGTAAACTGATCTTCACCTGAACTGAGGTAACAATTTAGGATATTGAAATGAGAAATTTGCTGAAAATTAGCCTATCTGCAACGAATACACACTACATCATTTACCTGAGCTCTCGCAAGGTCTTGTAACTTGATGTACTTTTCAATGACAATACGATTAAGATAGGTCATGACTAATGTCAAGCCATCACGTGTTAGCAACATCAAGTCTCTATAGCACTGCAGTAAAAAAGGAAAGTGCATCACACAGGTGAGTACAATGACGACAACAACAACAACAACAACATCACGTTAGGAAACCCAACTGTAACTACTCTAAAGTCTAATTGAAAGGCCATTTATAATTCAAAACTTCTGCCTTCTTAATTGCAACCACTCTTTAGCTTTGTGAGGTTTAGTACGTAGGACTGCAAATTATCGAAGGAAAGGTATGAGAGTAACTTGTCATTTGTTTTAAAACACAGATATAAAGGGTATATATGCTCAAGCCTGAGGTAAGCTAAGGACTAATCACTCAAAAAACCCAGCGGGGACATCTCACCCTTGGGGCACTCTGCGGGTCTGTAAGGATCATATACATCAGGCCCAAAGTAATATCTTCATGCTGTTGTTGACCTCTACATATCTGGAAAAATATGTTTGGTTATATTACAACAGCTTTTTTGTCGAATAAAAAACTGTTTAATACACGATTCCAGTAACTGTTATCAGTAAATAAAAAGATTTTGCACCCACAGAAATCCCTGGAATATTCATGGCTCGTTGTTTTATACAAAAATAGTCAAAAAGTTTAATAAGAAGAAAAAAAGGCAAAAGAGGCAACACCTACTGAAGTATTCAGTGCATCATTGGCTTCTCTTTCAGATAGTCCTTTCGTAATGCCCGTCAAGAATTGAAATCCCTTCTCAAACCTCTGAAGTGCAAACATGTGATATCGACAATTGATTAGCATCGCAGATTCAGAATTGACAAAACCTAATAAACATAGATATACTTTATCCTTTAATGCATGTCAGGTCCAGCATACCTTCAAGGTTGAAGCTAAGTTGTGACACCTTGTAACTCCTCTGACATGCCTTAATTGAGTAATCGACATGCCTTGATTTCTAGCCCTGTTTACCTAAAGTTGTTAATTGTCAAGCTGTGTTTTCACCTTATACTTGATGTATATGTCTCAAAACGGATCAATTTTTGTGTGTATTGAGGTTGCTTATGACACATGTAACTGACTCACTCTCTGACTCTCGACAATACAAATAGCCACCACCTGGACCCTCCCCTATCTGTCCATAAATGACATGCCTAATGAGATTCTTGGGGAGAAACCTGTAATTGTATATATTATATATAGAATCATTGTAAATACATCAATGCTTTAATTGGTATTGGACTATATTGTAACACTACTTCAGCATACCATTTGGGAATGTACATTGATGATAGTATGTAGGCGTACCTACTTCAAATTACTTCTAATGTCGGCCAAATAGAACAGATGTAGTCTTTCCACAGAAAAGGCTATGCAAAAGCCATTTAAAGGCATCACCACATACAGTGTCAGAAAGATTTAAATGCAAAAGCATTGTGTATAACTTTATAATGATTAATTATCAAACTACAAAGGACTATACTAGTACAAGTAGTAGTCGTAGTAGTAGTAGTAGTAGTAGTAGTAGTAGTAGTAGTAGTAGTAGTAGTAGTAATAGTAGTAGTATATTTTATTTATCAAAAACAGGGTAGCTATAAAACAACAACAATGCTGGTTTTCCATGTAGGCCCTGTTATCATACGTGATACATCACTTTTACACACACATAATGAAAATGTAATAATTAACATGGGCAGATCCAGCTTTTTGAAAAAAAAAAGGGGGGAGCCCAGTAAGAAATAAAGCGCACTTTTTCCTGCTTAATTTTTCTGGTGTTTTAAAAAGGTGCCGAAGGCAGCTTATGCGACGTGCCCAAGGCACGTAGCCACTTAGGGGGGCTTTTTAGCAGAAAATTATCTATTATGTGTTTTCCATTTTTTCCTTTTTTGGGGGTAAAAAGGGGGGGTCCGAACCCCCTGCCTCTGGACTCCCCTCTGGATCCGCCCATGATTAAGAGAATGGTATCATACTGAAGAAAGATACATCTAAAGCCCGGCGCACACGTGAGTAATTTTACTCAAGTAAAATGACGCACGAGTCATTTTACTCACGCGTCATATTTTCAGCGTCTGCCACAAACGTGAGTAAAATTACTCAAGGTATAAGTGGTAATGCAGATCACGTGAATGTGCACAGCCAATACTGGTCGCAGCCGTCTTTAAAATGATTTAAACGCATGCGCTGTGAGTACCAGTGTTGAGTAAATTTACTCAGCGCGCGCGCACACGTTGAGTAAAATGACGCATGTCAGCGTCAAAAATTATCAAACACGTTTGATATCGAGTAAAATGACGCATGCGTCAAATTACTCAACGCAAATCCGCCGTACACGTGAGTAAAAAGACTCATGCGTCATTTGACTTGAGTAAAATAACTCACGTGTGCGCCGTGCTTTAGGTTGATCAAATTGTAGATTGTAGTAGAAAAAGTTTTAATTTTAAGTTTAACTAGAGAAGAAGTTAGAGAATTGCAATATGGAATTGCAGAAAAAACCCTGAACTTGATGGGATCTTTTGAAGAATGGCAAAAGCTGTGTCAGACTCATATGATCGAGTACTAGCTTCTACTTCTACTTTTATACTGGACAGTCTGCGAGGAATAACGACCAGGAATTAAGTGCAGAACTCCAGGTGCATGTGATAGATTAGACTATGGAATTTTTACATATAGACAGTACGGTCTTCCAAAGATCGATGCTTCTCTGAGCCAGACACTCATTACTGAGTGGGACTAGCATACGGCAATGGGCTGTTGAGAGCTGTTGTAGATTGAGTACAGAGGATAATACTAATAGGCCTAGCAACAATGGACCAAGCACCAAATGTTGGAGTATGCCTCATTCAACAGCAGCCTGCCAATAACACATACAATTTGTGATCTTCCCTTTTGAGAGTCAGAAAGCCAGTTTAAGGCAGTAACATCCAATCCCAAATGATTACGGTTGAAAACCAAAAAAGTAAGAGAAACACTATCAAAAGCCGCCCTTGCTGATGTCTAGAATCACTTAGTGTCTATAGTGTTAGTGCTTAGTGTCTATAGTGTTGCTCATAGGGTCTATGTCCCCCAGGGTACTGCCGGAACGTACCCTGGTCACTATTTGATATGGTTAGGATTAGGATTAGGGTTAGGGTTAAGGTTAGGGTTAGGGTTCGGGTTAGGGTTAGGGAGTAGGCGTAGGCGACTCCCTAGACTCGTCAGTGGAGTATACGAGGTACGGTCCGGCATATTAGATAGTACCAGGGTACGTTCCGGTATACCGGACCGTACCCAGGGTACGTTCCGGCAGTACCCCGGGGGACATAGCTAGACCCTCTCAGCTCTAGTGTTAGTGCTTAGTGTCTAGAAACACTGACACTGTGTCAACCTGTTGTTGAGACATATCAAGATTCAGCATCAAATCATAAAGAACAGTGATTAACTGGCCAATATAAGCGGAAACACAATGCTGAACAACATGATGATGATGAACCAGAATACCATGTCTATCAGAGTGACTTATATTATAACAGAGCCCGATGAATAGGACTAGTATTATTATTAAGATTAAGAAGAGTAAGACTAAGAGTAAGAGTACCGAGTAGGTCTAAGACTAAGACTAAGAGTAAGAGTATCATGTGCACTGTCTGAAACTAAAGCAATGTGCCCTAGACTCGCGATTATGATCATGTAAGTATGGTTTTGATGTTTCATTATCTGGAGATTAAATTCTGACAGTAGCTCCTCCGATTGGAACTGGAAGGATTTTTTTAACTTCACATGCTCCTACACTGGATTCAATACAATTCATACATAGAATCTTGATAGAATTCAATACAACAGTGCATCACAATGACGTCTACTGTACTAAAGAGATTTACCTCTTCCAGTTCATCTTTTGGCTCAACTATTGAACATATAAATAGACCCTGCTTAGTAGATGTGGGCAGTGTTTTGTTTTCCGATGTCATTTTCGTAAAGAATCATTAGTAAACAAGTACGGCCATGTCAAAATAATTCCGCTGCAAGCGAGTAAACTTGAGTTTTCATAGTGAACGCCAGTCAACCGGTGTTGTTTCAGATAAGTTGGCCATGAGATAAGTTGGTAGCCACTGCGCAGGTTCAATGCGCAGATCTTTCTTTCGACCATTCCGTCATGCGGGTCAGGCGAAACGTCACGAGTGACGTCACATCAGGACACGCGTACTTCTTCGGCGTTCAAAATAAGCAGGTGCATACCCGTGAAAGATGTGCCTGGTGAAATCCAATCTAAAATTTTCACTTTGGCCGTAGCATCCCGCCACAGTTTTTCCCCTATGCTAATCAGTGGCGTAGCCAGGCGTTTTTAACAGGGGGGGGGCAAAACAGCAAACTGCTCAAAATAGTGGATGACAATATTTAATGGTTCTTCCGCGTCCCTCTCTACACCCTACGCTCCCCCACCTCTCAGCTCTGCAATTTTTATTTTTGGCGCCATGCAAAAAGGCGATATTTTTGTTCGTTGTTCCCTGCTCCCAAGATATATGCAACTGTTGAGTGACGGATCCAGGATTCCAAGGAGGCGGGTGAAAACCAGGCGAGGGGTACGGGGCCGGTGTCGCGCGAAATATCTGACGAGTGCGAAATATCTGAGATAGCCCCGCCCCGCCCCGACCCGACCAATGACAGCTGATCTTGTGTTACGATACGATACACTTGAAGGTTTGTGTAAAATACCAAGTTCTGGTACAGGGTAGCGAAGGAGCAGTTTAGGGAGGGGGAGGGGGACGGAGGGAATAGTTTAGAAGTAGTACTAGTAGGTGGTAGTAGGAGAAGCTAAGTAAGAATGAGAAAGAGGAGAAGCTGGTGAGACACAAGGAGCGGAAAGCTGTGGACGAAGGAGGAGAGAACTGGCTGGAGAAAGAGGAAGGGGAAAGAGGAGATAAGAGCTGGTGGATGGAGAGAGGATAAGGAGAAGCTGTGAACCGAATGAGGAACGGAGAAGCTGATGGAGAATAGGAAGGGAGAAGGGAGAAGGTGTTGGAGAAGGAGGAGGGAAGAAGCTCGGCGGAGAAGAGGAGGGAGAAGCTGGCGGAGAAGAGGAGGAGAAGCTGGAGAAGAGGCAGGAGAAGGAGAAGCTGGTGAGAAGGAGAGGGGAGAAGCTGGTGAGAAGGAGAGGGAGAAAGCTGATGAGAAAATAGGGAGAAAGCTGGTGAGAAGGAGAGAAAACCTGTGAGAAGGAGAAGAGAGAAGTATGGGGAGAAGAGGAGCGGTGAGAGAGGAGAAGGAAAGGCTGTGAGAAGGAGGAGGGAGAAACTGTGAGAAGAGATAGGGGAAAGGAGAAATGTGACAATGAGAGCGGCAGAAAGCTAGTGAGAAGAAGGAGGGGGAGAACTGGTGGAACGAATGAGAACAGGAGAAGGAAAAGCTGGAAGAAAGAGAGGAGTAGAAGGAGAAGGTGCTGGGAAGGATAAGGGGAGAAGGCTGGTGGAAAGAGAAGGGAGAACGAGAAAAGTGGTGGAGAACGAGGAGGGAGAAGCTAGTGAGAAGGAGCGGGGAGAGAAGCGGTGGAAAGAAGAAAGGAGAAGAAAAGGAGCAGGGGAGAAGGGACGGTGAGAAGAGAAGGGGGAAAGGAGAAGGTCGTGAGAAGAGGTGGATAAGCTGAGAAGAAGGAAGAGGGCGAGTAAAGCTGGGAGAAGAGGAGAGAAGCTGTGAGAAGGATGAAGGAGAGAAAGAGGGAAAAGGGAAGCTGTGAGAGAGGAGCAGGGGAAGGAAGTAAGGCTGGTGGAAGAAGAGGGGAGAAGCTGTGAAAGAGAAGGAGAAGAAGAAAGTGGTGACGAAGGAGAGCGAGAAGCAGTGAAAGGAGAGGAGGATACAGCGTGAGAATGAAGAAGGGGAGAAGGGATAAGCTGGGGAGAGAGAGAGAGGAGAGAAGAAGAAGGTGTGGAGAAGGAGAAGGGGAAAGCTGTGAGAAGAGAGGAAAGGGAAGCTGTGGAAAGAGGAGGAGAACTGGTGAGAAGGAGGAGGGGAGAAGCTGGAGTAAAAGGAGGGGAGAAGGAGAAGGGGAGGCAGGAGAGAAGAAGGAGCTGGTGAGAAAGAGAGGGAGAAGGGAGAAGATGGTGAGAAGGAGAGGGAAAAGAGATACGTGCTGCGGCCGCGCATTTCTCATGATTGTACAAGGGCGGCGCGCGGCCAGGGTAAATTTTCATTAGGGGGCGAAACTCAGGGGCGGGTAAGGATGCACTCGAAGGGGGTACTGGGGGGCTCTCCCATGATTTTTAAAATCAGACGCCCTGCTAGATCTTTTCTGCGCGAGTAGGGAGGGTCCGACCCCCTGGACCCCTGCTACACCCCCTGAGAACTGTAGACTCTGATACCCTGTGTGCCTTGCACTTACGGTGGGGTTCCAGGGGGGTAGATTCATATTCAGTCAAGCTGCGTACCCGCAAATATTTTCTCGTAAGCTTGTGTTACGCATCGACGGTTGCTTAGTTCGATCCATCACACAGCTATCTTAGTACCCAATTTTCGTTACGATTTCGCGTACGCAACGAGGCCGTCTTTAGGTCCGATTGCATGCAAGCCACGGCTAAAATTAGCGTAAACGCTTTGCGTCAAACTATATACATAAGCTGAACAGTGCCGAAACCACTCCGAACATTTGGCAAACAGAGTGTTTCCAGCCACCGCAGCAAGCGGCGCATACCCGCAGCAACATTAAAAATACACTCAATCTAAAAATTAAATAAAATATTACATCCGACACAGACGGCCTTTGACGCTTATTTTGTCATAGCTTGGCATTGTTTTCGTTAAACGCGAGTTACCTACACAGCACGCACGCGCGTGTACGTACGCACACACGCACCGTGTACGTGCACAACGCGACGCACGGTAAATGTGCAACACCACACGCCACGCACTGCACGGTACGTGCAGCACCCGCACGCACCACGCCGTCCGTGTCGACTGCTTTCATTCGAGTGTCTGAACACAATCATACAAACGAAAATGAGGAAGTGCTCACGGCGCGTTGATGAATCGCACCTACGAGGGCTTTGCGTACGGTACTACGTAGAAACTCATGTGTACGCAATACACTTGCCAACGTTGATGAATCCAGCCCAGGAAGCCCGCCTTAGTTCCGCCGGCAGGGTCGGGAAGCTCTCAGAGGTTCAGCTAATCAAAGCCCTCAAATGCTGAGCAAAAATTGTGCAGGAACGAAGGAGCAACCATATACCACAGGAAAAACCTCCGGGGGGGGGGACTCACCCACATTATGGTCTGGATATCTGTATGGCCACTGCAATAAAATGGGGGGGGGCGCTTCGTCGAACTAACTGCAGACCGCAAATGGTAGTCCTTGATACGTGACATGTTGTTGAATGTGTAAATCTCTGAACCGCTATGTTCGAAAATGGGTGTCGCTCGTGGAACTAGCAGGATCGTTGAAATCAATGCTATAAAACTGGAACGTTTAAAAAGGGTCTCCGAACTGAGGGAGGGAACAGGATGCTAAAATCTATTTGTAGCACTTGAACCAATAATTGTTGTATTATTAGACTAGAGAAAACATGACCCGAAAAGAGATGAACGCGCGCAGCACGCACACACAGCACCACACGCGCGCAAGCGCGCGTGCGCGCGCGCACATACACACACTAAACTAAAACTAGACAGAGGGCCTCACGAGAAAAGAATACTACGCCAAGCGACATACGGCCATACGCCATACACTGCACAAAACACACAGAAATAACCCCACGATATACTCCAGCGTACATGTATGCGCTCCGCTGCTCCAGTCACAAGCAGCCGTCGTGCCTGCCTCGCTCGCGACAACGCTAATACGATCGCGGCCACACACACACGACACACCACACACACACACACACACACACACCACGAGTTATCAGACACACACACACCACACACACACACAGCGACAGCACCAGCCACACAAACACACAACACACACCACTACACACACACACACACACACACACACGTGCACACACACACAAGTACCACACACTAGCCGGATTAAGGGGCGGGCCAACAGGGCAGCGCTCCCGGCCCCCCACATTGGCCGCCCCATTTAGAGACCTAAAATTTACAAACTGTCGTAATGTGACCACGAAATTGCTAGCATGGAACGTGAAGTGATCGGTCCCTCCGTCCGCAATATCCTGTTTCTGCCTGACGAATTCGGCTGTCAGCCTGAAGACACTTTTTCCTAATACCGCAAATGCTGCACTGAAGAAACTAATCTTATCCAATTAGTCTCGATTGTAGGCGGAAAGGATCATTTTTAAAACTCAAACGTGATTAAAATCACATGAGAACAGATTGAGCCAACAGAACGGACGTTAAACGCCTCATATTCCCCATCGAAAGTGACATTTTAATTCGTTGAAACACGCTGAAATACTCTCTGAATTGCCAAGCAAGAAAGCGCAAAAAAATAACACACGTACATAGGGCGCGCCACACAATGCGTCCCCGCCCCCACACACTTAAGTTCCGGCCCTGCATACACACACAGCACTCACACGACACACCCGCATCAACACACACACAGCACACACACACGACACAATGCTAACGTGTACATCGCCCGCACAACGCACCGACCCGATCACATAACCCGCCCTCCCACTTCGTGGGCGAGGTAAAAAACCACAAGCATGTAAGAGTATTATTAGAGGCAGTGAAGCGTAATCTAAGGCGCAGGGGCAGCGGGGCACGTGCCCGCGCCATGATGTCAGGGGGGCGGCAAAAAAGCAAAGGAAAAAAAACAATCTGCCATAAATGATAGCTGAAATAATCAATCCTTATGGACAAGTGATACCCAGGGGCGGTACAGCGGGGGGTCCAGGGTCGGATCCCCCCCCTTGCTGCGCGCAGAAGCAAAACGCAATCTAAGGGGTCTAATTAAAAAAAATTGTGGGGGGAGGGCAGCCCCAGACCCCCCCTCCGCGTGCTCGCAAGTTTGGGTTCACGTTGACCCCCCCCCACCCGTTGTACAAAACTCTGTACACGCCCCATGTACCCTGACCCTGGGATGTAGCTGTAGTTGGAAGCTATAATGCCTGAATCTGAAGGACAACCCACAAAACCAACATCATTTTTTTTTTAAAATTTTTTCATTGCGCGTCAGAAGTGAAGGGGCGCAATTTTAGCAGACTTTCTTTTTTGGCACTTTTATCACTTGGGCAATTCAGCAAAATTACGCACTTTTTTAGCAATGTTAGACAGTTTTTCGCTAGATACGCTCGATTAGCGAAGTCATCTGACGTGTAATTATATATTTAAAGTGTTAACATCTCCAGTGTGCCGACCCTTCCGGCCGGGAAACAGCATCACGACAAATGATGTCGCAAACTTGGACTTTCCAAGGAAATAACACCTTGACATGATAATCAAAATTAAGCACAGGTTTTATACTGAATTGAATTTCGACACTTAATTTTCTCGATTTTCGATGAAGTGGATCCAGCTTGTAGGCTACATTACTCATTTTGGGCCGATCCGCCCTAACTTCATTTGCAAATCTTCTTCTTCTTTAACTTTTTCTTGCAATGATGGGGTGAGGTGACCCCCGTGCAGCCGCCACCCGCATCAGCAATTTGCAGACATTTGCAAGAGTTTCTTTTCTTCTCTCTTCTTCTTCTCCTTCTATTCCTCTTGCCTCTTCTTTTCGTTTTTCTTTTTCACTTTCTTTTTTTTCTTTCCTTTTCTTTCTTACTTCTTTCCTTTCTTGCATGATACGGGGGCGACCGCCCCTGCCCCCCTGTGGCGCCGCCCCTGAGAGGGGGGCTGGTTGGCAGAATTCCCCTTCTTCACCCTTCTTCCCACCAGCTGCTGCACTTTCTCTTTCCTCATTCTCCGCCCTCGCTTCTCATTCCTCCTCCTTCTCCACCAGCTCTCCCTCCTCCTTCCCACCAGCTTCTCGTCCCTTCTCCCCCTCCCCCACCAGCTCCCTTCTGCCCCTTCCTCCTTCTCCTCATCCAGTTCTTCCCGCTCCTCTTTCTCTTCACCAGCTCTCCCCTCTCCCTTCGCTCCTTCCTCCACCACTTCTCCCTCCTCCCTTCCCGCCAGCTACTCCCTTCTCGCCCCTCCTCCGCCGATCACAGCCTCGCCGCCTTCTCCCTCGACTTTCTCCCTTCCTCTTCTCCAACAGCTTCTTCTCCGCGCTCGCTCGTTCTCGCCCCGGTCGTGCCTCCCTTCTTCTCCGTCACGGAGCCTTCTGCGCCTCCTCCTCTCCAGCCCAGCTTCTCCCCCTCCGCTCCTCTCCACGCAGCTTCTCCCCCTCCTCCTCTCCCCACTTCCTCCGCTCTCCCCTTCGCCTCCATCCACACAGCAGCTTCTGTCTCCTCCGCGCTTCCCAATACCAGCTCTCTCCTGCCTGCGCTTCTCCCATACATTCCCGTTTTTCCCGCCTCCTCCCTCTGCCAACCCAGCTTCTTCCCTTACTCCCTTCCTCATTCCTCCTACCAGCTTGCTACGCCCTCTTCTTCTCCCTTTGCCTACTTCTCCTACAGCCTCTCCTTCTCTGCCTTCCTCATCTCACCAGCTCCCCCTCTCTCCCCCTCCTTCTCCACCAGCTGGTGTCTTAGCTGAAGTGGAAATCGCCATATTTGAGCATATATGCGAAGTGCGCATGCGCATACGCATCCTATATCATATATTTCGCAGGTCAGAATTTCACACACAAAGACGAGCTGTGATTAGTCGGGTCGGGACGCACGCGAAGTGCGCGTGCGCATAGGCACGGGGCGGGGCTATCTCAGATATTTCGCAAGTCAGAAATTTCGCGCTACACCGGGTCCTCCCCGAGAAAATTTTGAAAATGTAGATCGCAAGAATTGGTATTTGAGGTTGAGTACATGTACAGCCTTCATTCTGACTACGACAATTCTCTTTTTAGTAGAACAATTCTTTTTTTACTTTCGGATCAACAGCTATAGGGGTCGGGGCCATGGCCCCCTTTGCCTCCCCCTCCCCTAACTACGCCACTTCTTCTCGGGTCACTACACTACACTCGGCCCAGCCACTGCAGCACACAAGACTTGGCACGGTGGTTGAAAACCTCAAGGTCTCCAGGGCTACAGGGCTCTGGTAATATAGGGGCGGCATTTCAGGAGATGTCCCAGAGTCTGGTCCTTCCCGCAGTCGCATTCTATTGGGCCATCTTTAGTGTATCCTCATTTCTGCATAAGTGCCCTACATCGACAAAACCCTATCCTGAGGCGATTTAGGCATAACCACGTCGGCCATACCTCGTTGGCTCCGGGTGGGATCAAGGGATTCCTGGGGTTCGAGTGAAAGCTTATGTTGGCTTGCCTGAAGATGCTTTGATCATTGGGCGATCCTGTAGGTTTTGAGGTTGCCATCCAGGGGTTGAACCGCGTAGATGAAACTGTGCCTGGTCTTTAGTCTCTTCTTTACTGTTTCGTGATGGAAGGGGTGGCGAGGGTCATTTTCTTGGTTAAGTTTCTCTACTTGGGATGAAGCCATTCGTCTAACGTGTAGAGGAGCGATGCCACAGAGCAGGTAGAGGTCATCTACGTTGGTTGGTCTCAAGCATCCGGAAATGGCTCTGCAGGCAATGTTCAGAACTGGGTAAATTGTTGCAGCATGGGGCGACCTACTCCAGACAAGGCACGCATACTCAGCTAGCCGCCGTGTAGCACAGCTAGGCCCGGCGTCTGTTCCCCATTTAGTATTGGCCAACTTCTTTAGAATACTGTTTCTGGCACCCACTTTGGCCTTTGTCTTGATGATGTGATTCTTGTAAGTTAGAGAGCGGTATAAAGTAACACCTAGGTAGACTGGGCTATAGGTATGTTTCAGTCATTTGTCATACCATTTGACTTTTAGTTGGTGGTTCGCCTCCTTGTTCTTTAGATGGAAGGCACTTATTTGAGTTTACCCGGGATTGGCTCGTAGATGGTTTGCTGTGTAGTAGGTGGTTAGGCCTGCGAGAGCATCGGTGATGGACCGTTCGGCTTCGCCAAAGGACTGTTTTTGAGAAGCAATGCAGAGGTGCAAGGAGCAAGGGCGCAACCACGTGTTGAAAGTTGGGGGGTCACAAGCAGCCAATAGCAACGTAATGAGCTAATATCACGTATTGGTTCAATATCACGTATTTCAGCGTGTTGATGGAAGTGTTGCATAATTGTGATGTCATGAATGACATTACTATAGGATCATGTATACATAAAATACAAAAATGTTTTATTGATTAGATTAAGCTAGTAGTAAAGCTATACACAGACTGTGCTAACTGTGCGACACAGTTAGCATGATTAAGATGAAGAGGAAAATAATAATGATGAAAATAATAATGCAAAAAAATGCCTGACACGTGAAAACAGAGAACAGTGTTAGAAACCAAATGTGACCTTCCTTGAGTCACACTTTGCAACAAAATCCTTTGCAATTGCTTCAATATCGATTCTAGAACACGTGATAAAAAACAATCGCGTTGATTGGTTCAATTGTCTTTTCGCCGTCACGTCAGCCGGCAAAAGTCCAACTTGACTTTCGCCGTCGCCGTGAAACCAGGCCTGCGCCGTGCAGTGTCAGTGGAGACTGCACCAGAAGATATCATAGATTAGAAGGTAAGGGTGAACGGCGCCGCGCCGCGACGCGCCGCTTGTGTGGAGATGGGCCTATATTTTGTGTGTGTGTCTATAACACAGTTAGCTTGCGAACGCGTGGTGAATATCGTGCTCGTTCCATGCACGTGAGATTGAATGTACTATGTAGGTCGAATCTAAATGATATTAACAAGGGTTCTATTTAGATATCTGAATCTGGATCACAGTTATCACACTGCACTTGACCACCTGGGGTTTTTATTTATTTTAACTTTCACCTGTGAAATATGGATGTTTCACGATAATAAACGCTTATCGGACTATTTTGGACCTCCCAGAAAATAACGTCTTCCAGAAGTTGGGGAGGTCCACATAAAAGTCGGGGGGTCGTGACCCCCCCCCCCCAGTGGTTGCGCCCATGGCAAAGAGACTCCTGTAGATAACTATATATATTTATGCGTGACATGACTATAGGCCTATTAAATATTTATATAAATATAATGTGTGTGTGTGTGTGTGTGTGTGTGTGTGTTGTGTGTGTGTGTGTGTTGTGGTGTGTTGTGTGTGTGTTGTGGTGTGTGTGTGTGTGTGTGGTCGTGTGTGTGTTGTGTGTGTGTGTGTGTGTGTGTGTGTGTGTGTGTGTGTGGTGTGTTGTGTGTGTGTGTGTGTGTGTGTGTGTGTGTGTGTGGTGTTGGTGTGTGTGTGTGTGTGTTTGGTGAGTGTGTGTGGTGTGTGTGTGTGTGTGTGTGTGTGTGTGTGCCCTGTGTGTGTGTGCTGTGTCGTGTAGTAGTGTGTGTGTGTGTGTGTGGTGTGTGTGTGTGCTGTGTGTTGTCCGTGTGTGTGTGTGTGTGTGGTTGTGAGTGTGTTTGTACGTGAGCGTGTGTGCGCGTGCATGCGCGCGCGTGTGTGCGTGTGCGTGTGCGTGTGCGCGTGTGCGTTGCGTGTGTGCGTGCGTGCGTGTGCGTGCGTGCGTGCGTGCGTGTGCGTGCGTGCGCGCGCGCGCGTGTGTGTATTTATTTATTTATCTATTTAGTATGTAAACGGTAATGTAAAGGTAATAAAGGGCATATAGGTAGATAAATGGTAAATGGAAGTGGAATGAATAGAGTATATTATTATAGATAAATAAATTGTTGTTCAATGGTAATATTCAACTTTTACTTCTATATCTTTTCCCTGGCATTAGTTGCACGGCTCTAATAAGGATCGATGATGATGCGATAAAAACGACGACATGCTGACGATGCATGACCATGACATCATCACTCCGAACCGCGAGTTTTAACTTTCCCACAATCCACCACAGTTTTCAGAGTGATGAGCATTCTCATTTTATTCCCAGAATTCATTATCCGCCATTGTGGAAGTCTCATGGTTTATATTGAACAACGTATAATACCTAAATACTGTTAAAATGGCGTCTGGATATTTTTACAATCCGTCTACAGGACAGTACGGGTATGTTAACTTAACACTAAGACGGAAATTGCAGTGATAGGAGTATTGTATAAGATGAGAGTCGGCAAGTGAGGTTTTTGCTGAGCCATTGAGGCAGTCCGAGCCGTCATTCTCATTGTCATTTACTTAGTTTTCTCGCGATGTTCGGGTCATCCTTGATAAGTTAGAAATGTTCCGTCGGTAGTATAACTATAAGTAGTTAACTCGTATTCTTCTACAAATTATGATTATTTGCCGTAGAATTATCGGTAGTGGTGCACCCATGAACGCAGGCATGGTACAGAACGCATGTCGTTGACGATGCGCCATGCCGCGCGTTTCATGTACTGCGTAGTCCTACCGGTGTTAATAATGGTGCCGGTGCGGCGGTGCCGGTGGGTCCTATTAAACAGCGAAATGTGCAAGAGTGGGCAGGAATGTGCATCTATAGTATAAGTTAACTGCCGTAATGTATCAAAATGTGGGAAAACGGGTTTACACATGTATGTTAAATCTGTCGAAACCTGTCGGAATTCATAAATGTGCACTGCTAGTATATATGTATATAATTATACAGTCTACAGTTTACATGCTTGTAAATGCACAAATTAAATTTTTAACACAAAGCATCCCATAGCATGTCATGATAAAGGGTTGATGTACCTTGTAACACTAGCCGATATGCAACAAATTTCCCAATATATTACAAGTGTTATGTACCTGCCATCTTGAGTTTACTCTTTTAATCAACACAATTTTCTGATGTGATGTGTCAAGTTGAAAAGCAGTAAAAGCCATCAATATAATTGGCTAACTCATTAAATTTTGGAAAGTTAACACTGACAGATAAAGAAAGGTAAATTCAGGATCCCAGGAAAGTTCAAAAGATGAAAGGAAAACTCACATCTCAACGCTCCTAGGTTCCCCACCATGGCCACCCTTTTACCCACCCAACAATCTGATACCTAAACTGATAGACCAGTAAGAATAAGATAAGTATAGAAGCAGTGTTTTTCACATCATTGTTCTCTTGCTCGGCAGTGCGCAGCCTGGTGCTGCAGCGTATCAGGCGACGACAGCGTATTATAACGCCACGGCGGCGCCGGCGGCGGCCGCAGCCGCGTATGACTACACCGCTGTCACCCCGACGTATGGTACCTATGGAGCAGCTGCGCGACCAGTAAGTACCTGTACATGTTAGCGAACTCCAGCAGGGCAAGTAAGCTGTTCACCTGTCTATGTATTACTACGAAACGCTCCCAATCCTGGTGAGCAGGCAGAGTTTATGTATGTTTCACCCTTTCTTGTTGGTTAAATTAGCGTACCGTGCAGGGTTCTCCAAGAGCACTTATAGCCTGGCGGCCCGCCAGGCTATCGTCAAGCCCCGCCATCCTAAAATGCACCCGCCACTCTAAATATCATAGCCGCCATGCTAAATATCATAGCCAGGGGGTCGTTGTCAGAAACAAAATTAGTCGCAACATTAGTCTTACCATTAACTTCCACTCGTAAACCGTTGACAGAAACATCGTAATGTTACGAGAACGAAAAATCCTCGAAAATATCCTCATAACATTACGAGAGCCCAGACCCTCTCGTAACTTTAATAGTAAGATGAAAATAACACATTTAGACTAAGAATTACAATTATAGTGATATAATATTTTATATTAATGAGTAATATATTATCATGTGTTTTTCTTGGAAAACACGTCAAAAACATTAATTATCTACCGAACGTAAACCAAAACAATACATTTACAAATGGCGTATGGCATTTGTTCTCTTGTTTGAAATGCTTGCCACGCTTGCCACGACTCTCGCGTCTCGCGTTAAAGCGTTACAGTGTGAGAATTTGTCTTGTTGTGCAGAATAAATTCATGAATATGTGGTTAGCCATTATAATATGCATAAATTAGTGTGATGTACAATAAATGTTTATGAATTTGAATTTTGTGATCGATTCTCATCCAATCAGCAGGCTTGTGACATGAAATTATGAAGTTCCTGTTATCGTGAGTTTGCTCGTAGCTACGATGTGTTTCTGTCAACGCTACTCTCGTAGCATTAACATTAGTCGTAAGTGTTATCGTAGCATCAACATTAGCATTAACTTTACGATGTTTCCCAACGGGCCCCAGGCTCCTCCCTACGTTGCGCAAACTGGGCGCGCCCGCCCCGTTTGGGAAAACTCCCCCCCCCTGTTTCAATCGTTGCGCCACGTTTAAATTACCTCCGCCCCGATTAAATTCCACCACAATAACAGTTTGACAGCGTGGGAATCGATCGTCAAGAATTCCCATTCGACCAGGACCCCCGACGCGTGTATTTTTACCGTACCACTAATGCGTAACGTCCTACACTACGCATGCGCTGCAGCCACACACAAGTACAAACAGTCACCCTGTCCCAAACCCAACCCCTAACACTAACTGTAAACCGACTCGGCTATCTTATATACAAGTACCCCAAATACCGTCTATGGTGTGGTGGCGATTTTACGCATTAGTGGTACGGTAAAAGTACGCCCCCGGACCCCCCTAGCTCCCCCTCCTCCTTCTCCGCCAGCTTCTCCCCTCCTCCTTCTCCACCACCTTCTCTCTTCTCCCCTTCCTCCTTCTCCACCAC